TTTAGGCTTGGCTAAGCCTATATTAGTTTATTTTATTGTTTAACGCTTCCTTTACAGATCGGTTCGCAACAATTCGTGGACACACCTAGCAGTTTCCTGGGCAGAAGAAAACAGAACGATGCCATTGTATATCGACGCAGTGTTAGTAATATTAAAGTCAGCGAATACCACCTCCAAACTTAGGAGGTCGACGTCACAAGATTACTGGCTGGGATGGACGCGTCGCGCTAGTATGCAGCCTAACATGATGTTTTACGGACTGATGAGGGATTTACAGATTTTCAACAAGGTTTTAACTGAAACTGATCTCCAATTTATAAAAGGTAACTACTAGTACAATATTTCAAATGTTCGTGGTACGATTCAGGCCCCGTCCTCACTCAGCCGGAGAAAATTTGAAAGTACAAGAATCACCGGTCATTTTGGATTTGTGTTTGAGGAAAACTCCGGCCGCACTAAAACGCAAAGCCGGCGTTTTAAAATTCTCCGGTTTAAAGAAGAGCTCCATTTTCAAAATGTTCCCCTCCACACGAAAACAAAGAGCCCGCGTTTTCAAATTCCTCTGGTTTGAAGATTGTTTTCAGAAAGCTCCGTTTTCTTGACGGATTAGTGTGGATGGTAGGCCTAACCGTTGAAATAATGCTGCGTTTTGAAATTTCTCTAGCGTAGTATGGATGGGGCCGGGCTCCGATCAATTTTGGTCACCGCGGGTGATTACAAAAACAGTTGAACTTCCTTCTTCTTTCCTAGAGATTTAATTATGTTTTCCTTTTCGCACTCCTAACATTTATTAATCCAGCAATAACGTTTCGAGAAGCCGTTTTCCTGACGTTGTTATTTTACAAAGATATCATCGTTTACGCTTTTTACAGGTCCTTATCGACGCAGACATTTTTTCACATTTTTTTGCTTGTAGTCTAGTAATAATTAACAGTGGTCTTGATATTTCATTGGCTTCTTGCTCTAAGTCCAACCCCTCGACTACTTATGTGTTCTCTGTTATTTTACTTCCGGTGGCAGTTTTTGGTAACGCTACAGGAAGTCAGAGAGCGGAGAAAAAGACTGCAAGGCCTGGGCTTGTCTTGCTTCCTAACTAACAATCGCTCTAGATGCCCTGGTTGATTGAATTGTCGATTATAAAGAAAAGAGAAAAAATGGACCTGTCTCATCTCGCAGTTGCCTGTGGGATTGTTCCTGAAGACAAAACAAAGGATGATGTCAAATGACTGTGAGATAGGACTCGCATCAGATTTCTTTTCTTTTTTAAAGTGGCTGATTCTGTTGAAACATTTTAATGGTCTTTTCTGCCACTCGTGGTTTCGTTTCTTTTCTGGAATTAACTTTCGATCGCACATTGTTTTATCTCTCAAGATCATTCATTAGTTCTTTAAGCACACGATATTATTATCGTCCTTAGTTCCCAGTCGACCTCCACAAAATGTTACCGTCCACAACTTCGACTCTAATTCTCTTCTGCTTACTTAGAGACCAGTTCCTCCGCAGTTCGCTGACGGCCGGATACAAGGTTACCAAGTGAGAGTCTGGCGACAAGAGGACGGGATGGCACCTAGCACACTTAACGTGACAATGTTTAACAAAACAACAGCTCAGATTAGAGGACTAAAGGCTAACAAAGAATATATAGTACAAGTATCAGCCTTCACGTC